CAACTGGACGGTTTAACAACTCTTCTCGATTGCAATGATTTGATTTCTTCCCACAGGTGTGCCCTCTGGACGAGCCTTAGTAAGAGTTGGGTCCTATGTTGTATACAAGACACTGTTAGTCCAGGATGCCTGCTTCTGTGTATGAATTTATAAATATATCCGAATATACGCTGCATTGTATCAAATGAGTTGACGTATTTACAAGTGACAGTTATATCAATGAAGGGAGATGACGCAATAAGGACCCTTTTTTTAAGTTCGAGTTCTGTCCTTTCTGACAAGCAAGAAGCAGGCCAGTCCAATTGATTTTTAACTAGAAATTCTGGGCCGTTGAACCACAGTGAGGATTGATCTAATTCACTGGGCGTAGATCCTCTCCAGAGTATATCTGCCGGGTTGAGTGAAGTAGGCACGTAACGCCATTCCATGCCATTAGTTAGCTCTTGAACTGCTGTGACGCGATTAGCCACAAACACATTGAGCTTGCAGGGCTCGGTCCTTATCCAGGAAAGGCATACAGAAAAATCCGACCAACAGTAGAATTTTCCATCGAACAGATTCATTTTAGATATCTCACGCATGAGATTAGATAATAAGACGGCACCACAGAGCTCTAGCTTTGGAACTGTGATTGTTTTTAGAGGAGCTAAGCGCGATTTGGAACACAACAGCTGACAACTGGCTGATGTTCGTCGAGAAAGGACGTAGACACAGGCCCCATATGCTTCGATGCTGGCGTCGCAGAAACCGTGAACTTCTAACTCTGCTGCAGGTATTGACACGAGTCGAGGAAATTTAAGAAACTGTGCCTTCTCAAAACTGCAGCAAAGATCATGCCAAGCTGTTGCCAGTGATGATGGCAAGCTCTCGTCCCACTCAAGCTTCTCCTTCCAGATTTTAGCCTAGGCAATTACCGGCCCTATGAGTCCAAGCGGGTCATACAAGCGAGCTATGGTCGATAGTATTGACCTTGTGGATGGTTTATATCTCTGCTGAATGGACGAAAACGAAAACAACAATCGATCCGACGCTGAGTCCCAAGCGAGTCCAAGAGTTTTGATGATGTCGCTACCATCATCAAACTTTAGGGAAGATTCTCTGTCCTCTACGGGTATCCCTTTCAGTACAGCAGAATTGCTTGAGCACCACTTTCGCAACTTGAAGCCCCCACTTGCCAAGATTCCCGGCCGTCTGATTAAGAAGTTCCTTTGCTTCTTGAATTGAATCACCCCCTGAAATGAGGTCATCAACGTCGAAGTCACGCCGCGAAATCCGAGATCCAAATGGAAAATTAGTTTCCTCATCCATAGACAGCTAATGCATAGCACGGATAGAGAGGATTGAAGATGGCTTTGTTCCGTATGTAACTGTATCCAGCTTAAAAATCCTGTTCTGGCGAGTCTCGCCATAGAATGCATTGGAGAAAATCATCCGGTGCTGAAACGCGTACGCAGCGATACATTTTTCCAATATCTCCTGTTAGGGCGATTGGGAAATTACGAAAGCGAAGAAGGATATGAAACAGCGAGCTTTGAATAACAGGCGTGCTGGTATCTTTCTTGTATTTCTGAGGGATAGAGCTCGTTCTTTGACTTTAAGAATGACTAAAGATGTTGGAGTTCGTCATTTAGTTTGACTGCAGTGTCCCATGGGAGGCGATTTTTGCATTTGTATACGAGTCTTATTATCTCACACTTTCTACATCTGCTTTGCTCCTTAATGCCTTTTGCGTCTGGGCTTAGTTTTTGTCCTAAAGCTCATGCCCTGTACTTAGTCAGTAATTATTTGGTTATGCGGTCCAATAGTTCCAGCTCCAGCTCCAGGTCGATCCAACTCCTCTTCTCTACTTCAGCTGAGTTATAGCTACTGCTTGTATAGCTTCACGGTTGCCACGTGACAATTTAAATGAAGTGATTTGATTTATAACACAGTGATTGTTTTAGGCAGAAGAACGTCAGTACTGTTCTGCAAAGTTGTCCTTGCAGAGGGTATTATAATCTTGTTGTGAAATGTGTAACGCAGAGAAGGACACATCTCCGACCCCATTAAGTACACATATTCTTGATCAGCATCAACAGCCGAGTTGATATAGCCATATCCGTCTGTCTGTTTTTTATGCGTACAGGTCTCTAAGTTGTAAAGCTATTTTAATGAAACTTGGCAAAAGGCCCTTTTTCGATTGCACGCAACACATATGTCAAAACTAGCTGGATCGGAACACTATATCATAGTTGCCATAAGAACAATCGATCGAAAATTAAGTTTCATAAAAAAAAATTTTTTTTTAAATATATCTTGACCAAAATCGGCAAATATATATGTTTCTCATAAAAATGCAAAATCCTATTATGATCGGTACAATATATCACATAGCTGCCATAGGAATGACCGGTCGAAAATTATGTTGTTGTATGTCATTCTAGATATTTTGATTAAGCACGGCATTTAAAGATTTCACTATGCTCCCTTAATTTTTGCAAAATCTTATATGAATCGGACTACTATATCATATGTATGCACTATTGGAACGATCGGTCGAAAACTGATTTTTGATTAAAGATATCTTAACCACACTTGGCATTAACTATTTTCCCAGTGCTTTTTAGATAAGGGCAAAGCACTAGAAGCATTATGAAATGGTTGGGCCTGCAAGGGTATTAGATCTTTGGAGTGCTGAAGTTAGCCTTTCTTTCTCGTTTAGAATATGTTTACTTCTGCTTAAAGATTCATTTTTAACCTATGTGTACATGAATATGCTTATGCTGTTATTGATTAACAGCTGCAAAGAGAGAGAGAAAAAGTGTGTAGCTTGCATGTGTCTGTGTTAGGGAGCATATATATATTGCTTATGAAATGCGCTCAGACGAAGCCTGGGATATGCAGAGTAAACATAAAAGTTATTGTTATTGTGTGCAACAAACTTCCGCTTACTTTATATTTGAATATAGGGTGTTCTTTTGAAGGCATATACACACTACAATAGACTGAAAATAAATACCGAAAGTTTCATTCAGTCAATTGTCAGTTAGGTGTGCCAAGTCGTGTTATAGCTGATCAGGGCCGATGTTTTGTGAGTTCTGGGATTAAAGTATTTTGTTCAAAACATAATATTGAAAGGCATTTAAAAAGGTCTAAAGTTTAAAAGTCTAAAAAATACTTCTGTTTTTCTTTTCTTCTTGTTCCTTCTGTGGTAAATTCGAATCACTCAAGGTGAGTGATAGAGAAAGAGAGCGAGAGAGAGAGAGAGAGAGAAACACTCAAACGACTAGCATGGTAACTACCAGTTAAATTACTCTGTCATACCTGGCACTGGAGCAGCAGGGTATTCGATGTGTTTTTTTATACCCTGAACTCATTAAAAATGGGTATAAGGGTATATTGCATTTGTGCAAAATACAAATGTATGTAACAGGCAGAAGGAAGCATCTCCGACCCCATAAAGTATGTATATTCTTGATCAGCATCAATAGCCGAGTTGATCTAGCCATGTCCGTCTGTCTGTCCGTCCGTCCGTCCGTATGTATGAGGCAAAGGATCTCAAAACCTATGAGAGCTAGAGACTGAAATTTTAGATGTAGATGCTCCTGGTTCCCGCGCAGATCGAGTTTGTTTCCGATAATCGATAACTTACTCTGTTTCCAAGCAATCGATAAAAATCGATATCGACATACTGTTTTTTTTTGCAAATTGCGTAAATAATAAGAGCTAGAGCCACCAAACATGATATGTTGCTTCTAGAATATTATAGATATTTCAACTATCTTTCATTTCATACCTATCGCCACCTCCCCGCTACCACAACAGAGCTATAAATCAAGTTAATAACCAAACTTTTATTGCCAACCAATTTAAACCACAATTTTAATGCAATTGATTTTATCAGAATACACAAATATTCTATGATACAATAAGATATACTGTAGAAAATTTCATAAAGATCGGTTAAGAAAAACCAGAGTTATATGCAACTGCGCAATTGAATGGGCCAGCAGCTTTAAGAATTTCTGTATACATGTACACACACACATCCATGCGCGTCTGCTTCGCATTCTAATAGCATGGTAATTGCATCTTTTTTTTGTCATGTTATTTTAGTTCCTTTTTTTATCGTAAGTACTTAATTGTTGGTGTGGCTGTTGAGTAGAGGCATAGCAAGAAGTGCCGTCTGTCGCGAGTTCGAGCCCTACCAGGGAAAGTATTATTTTTTTTTGCTGGTGTGGCTGTTGAGTAGAGTCGACAGTATGTAATGCGGTCAGTTGCAAATTCGAGCCCTGCCAGGGGGTATCCCCTAGTCGGGAGCTCCCGACTAGAACCTCTTGTTTATTCTGCCTTTTGTCTCAAGCAGCTCTTTGGCGGCTGAGTCGTTAAGGGACACGAGAAAAGCATTGCAAGAAGTAAAAGCGCCTATATCTGGTATTCGTTGCGTTGCAAGAACGAAAAGCGGTTATCACTGGCTTTCGATGTGTTGCAAGAACGCCATAATTATAAAGCATGTGTGTCAGACACGTATGGAGTTTTTAGCCCAAATGGGCTGCAAAGACTCCATAATATTTGGCGCAACTTTCCTCTAAATGGAACCTAAATAACCAATAAAAAATCGTATTCCTCTGGCAGATTATGTTATCTGCAGGTTTTCATTACTTGGTAAAGTGTAATAGAGGCTGTCGTAAGGATTCCCAAAAATGTGACCTATGCCGTGGGATCCAAACAGCTAATAAGACCGACCCTTCTGTTCTATTTGTATAGCCATCATAATTCACAGACCTTTTTGTCAATCTTACACTTAATTTCATACAACTTTAACTAGGAAAAGTTTGAAACACTTTTGACATTGGATTACCACTAGAGATCATGTAATATAACAAAATGTAAATCAAAGCATGCGGAATTCTTTGAAGATTTATATCATTTGATTCGTCTGTCTTTTTGACCATATCTCTTGAGAACGTGTTAGCAATTTCAAGCAAATGGACAATAATATAAATAAATAGTATACTTACACTTGCATTACACCACGCACTCTACTCCAATGTCGTTCGCGCATATTTGGGTTTTTCAATGCAGTAATTAATGGCAGAGTCCGCCTAAAACTGTCTATACTTTTTGTTGTTACTTCTAACATTTCCCAATGGCGATCATAATACATTTTGTTTAACATACTAAATTCCTTGTATAAACTTAGGGCCTTATCCTCCATTTCATCAATATTAATTTTCCAGAAGTTACCTTTTCGCCAATTATCCCAGCTAGTTTGCCAGTCGAGAATAAGCTGCCAAATATTCTGAACGATTTTTACCTCTGTGTCTAGTTTACGCAAATCTAAGCTTTCAGGTTGATTCACATTAAAAACAGATAAATCGCTTTTAAGGCTCTCCTCAAACTTGAAACAGTCCTCCACCTTCAGTGATATAATTTTTAGAAATTTAAGAGCTATCTTTGGATTACTGTAAAATTAATTAATTAGTGATTCGCGAAAATAAGGATAATTTGATTAGTTTTACATGTTGGCAGCCGTCGGCAGCTTTAGATAAAAGTCATCTAGGAATTCTTTAAGGATCATTTTAAATTTTTCGGCTTGATGTAATAATATCTTCTTAAATTCATCACGATTATTGTCAAGCATTTCATCAGCTTCTCCTAACTTTCTCAGATAATCCTGCCAAGCTGTCTGCAAGCCTTCCACTTGTAGCCGTATTTCTTCTGGTATCTCCACCTGATATTTATCTAACAGATCAAAAAGTTCCAGTATACTTGGAAAAGTAGATTGCTTAAGTGGCGCTTCTTCTATTAATCTGTCAAAATATTCTTTTGCTGCTAAAGACTCTTTAAGTGTTCTCGGGGTCATCATAATTTTTCTCCCGTTGCGGCGGATATACCGATATATTCCTGAAAATATTATAAATAGATTACTTACAATATTAATTAAAAATACATATAGTAAAAGACATTCATACTTTGGTGAGACCGTTTAAATACCATATCAATACACACAAAAACCATATGCAAATATTCACCACATAATTTACTCATTATGGAAGAGATAGACCGGTAACAAAAATAGAAACAAATGAAAACAAGTAAAAGGTTCTAGTCCGGAATTCCCGACTAGGGGATACCCTGAACTGTCTTCTTCTAACACTAAATGCATATATATATTTTCTATTTTAGAAGCTATGTTTATGTCAAGTTTGGTGACTCTATTCCTTATTATTTACCAAAATTGCTCAAAAAACAGGATGTCGATATCGATTTTTATCGATTGCTTGGAAACCGAGTACATTTACATCTAAAATTTCAAGCCTACCTCTTATAGGCTCTGAGATTCTTGCGTTCATACATACCACAGAGAGACATACAGACATGTGTAGATTGACTCGGTTATTGATGCTGATCAAGAATATATATACTTTATGGGGTCGGAGATGCTTCCTTCTGCCTTGCATTTTGCACAAATACAATCTACCCTTATACCCATTTTTAATGGGTTCAGGGTATAAAGAGGAATTTAAATAGCATTACGGGAAAAAGTCGCAATTACCATGCCGTGAGTATACGATAGAATGCAAAGCAAACGCGCATTAATGTGCGTGTGTACATGTGTACAGAAATTCTTAAGGCTGCTTCGCCATTCAATTGCGCAGTTGCATATAACTTTGGTTTTTACCTAACCGATCTTTATGAAAATTTCTACAGTATATTGTAATGGTCGCAATTTCCTATTTTAATTAAACCGCGTAAGCGATCCTAACAGCTTGCGTTTGTGTAACGACTCTATAGCGATTAGCTTTTGTCTGTCACGGTCAGCTGCGAATGATTCTGCCGCTACTATAAACCGCCTGCGTGCACGTTGCCAGCGCAGCTATCTTCAATCTAATCCGCGAAAGAAAAAAAGCTCTGAGACCCTATATAAGCCTGTAGGTCCCGGATATAACCCTTTTTTATTCAAAAATTTCTTTACCATCGAAGGTCTGGCTACGGCGGTTCGTACATAGCCCCACCAAAAAAATTAAACTAAAAGCATCAGTCGTTTAATTCGTTGAATTTAAATTCCAACTAAATTGAACCAAAAACAAAAAAAAATAAAAAAATAAAAAGGAAAACCCTAAAAGTGGCCGATGGGCGAAATATCAATTTTTTTGTTCGTTTGATGATAAACCTTTCGCTACGCCAGCCGGCCACCAGCACCTCACCGGCATATATTTCTTTGTGTCAAGATCTGGTCACTGTTTTAACCAGTTCTTGTCTGCCTGCCGAAAGTAATTTTTGGAGGAATCAATCTTGCCGCCGCCGTCTCTGACATAAAAACCCACTTATTTTGAGGCAACCGCAACGTGTGCCCATTGGACGGCACTGTAATTTCTTGGGACGGCAATGTCATTTCTGCCCCCATTAAATAGACGTCAGCCTCAACTGCGGATCAGCTGCCATTCCCTTGCTCATGCCAGCAAGAACGGGCAGGCTCCGTTTCCACAGTCTGGAATCCGGAAGAGGGGGTAGCCTTTTGGGCCCCATTGACGCGCCGCTGATCAGAAGCCCAGATGACATCGCCCATTAAGTTGGCCGGAGCGTGCAGATGCATGAAAATTGCTGTTAAATATTTTTAGTAAAAAAATTGTTAATTAACTCTTATGAGAGACTTCCAAAAGTTTGTGCAAAGTGCATTGATTAGGGCCCTCAAAAAAACCGCGTGCAAGTGCAGGGAAAAATAAAAATTTACATCTATATACATATCTTTATATATATAGAAAGGAATAATAGTATAAATCTATCCCCCTTCTTGTTGGGGTAGAGTCCAAAGTCATTTCTGAATTTGTTTATATATTTTTGAATTTTCCCACTTAGTTTCGGAGAGTATCTTCTGAGTACTCATAATTTAAAAACCCTCCTGTGCCATAATAATATGATCAAAACAATTTAAAGCCCCACAGAAGACAAAAGAAAACAAATGAAAAAAAAAAAATACAATTTGCTGACATGCGCACCTGCTGAGTTTGTTTTTCGACTTTCTGTTTCACATTACGCTTTAGCTCCGATCAATATGTTTATGACCGTGTCAGTCTGGTGAATGCTTATCATCTTTGATTCTACCTACACCCCGCTCAATTATTAGCTGAAACAGAAGCAACCTAAAAGAAAAGATTTTTAACAGAATCAAATAGATGTACACAAAGATGTATCATCGTATTCACTGATCAGCTGGTTGCGCTGCGCTCCGATTTGCCCATGCGCTTCGAGCTTAACCTTCTGTTGCCCATATTTTTTTTCAACCATACAATTAACCATCAACTACAATTATATTGACTATATTATAATAAATTTGTTTTTCTTTTTTTGAATACACTTCAGTTCAATTTACTAATGTCACTTTTTTCCTTGCCTAGCCTTATTCGATATTTATTAAAATGCACTTTAGCGAAAATTTGAGATTTTTTTTTTTTTTTTGCTCAATAAGAAAATAAATATTAACTGAATAGTTTATAAAATGAATTCATTTTGAAGAATTTTTGAGCCATTGTAAAAATATTAACTGACTAGTTTTAGTTACTGAATTATTGTTGAATCATTAATGCCACTTGTAATAAGATGCAGACTATCCAACGGAAGGATTCAATTTCATTTAATAATGCTTTTCTTTATAATAAATATTAATTACGGATTTTGATTATGAATTGCTAAGTTTGGTGGTATAATGTCGTAGAATATTGTTTTTTTTTGGGATCTTCAAAACCTTAAACTGAAGATCATTTGGGAGGGTATCGAACGCGAGAGTCAGCTTACATCCAAGACTTCGCCTCTTCGGAATATATAGGCCCTAATGAAAGCTATCACCATTGTATTGGCACTTTAAGTGCTCGGTAAGTTATGCCTGTTTGAAAGTTTGTTTCTTCGGAGTATCGGTCTCCAATTTAGATTCTGTAGGGATCCTAAAATAAAATTGTGTATGCAGGTCGAGACATGGCAAAAAGAACCCCCCCACACGAAAGAGCTAGGTAGCAAGAGGATCCCGCCCTGCCATGCTAACTCAACCACGAGGAGCCTCGGTGAATACTTCCCGAATTATTTTGTGAAGATTGGCTGCTAACCGCCGTCACCGTTGCTACCCGATATGTATTGCTAGAGTAGCTTCACTACAGTACATGCTACATACATTTTTGGCGAGGTTGAATTTATACAAAAAAAAAAAAAAAAAAAAAAAAAAATAAAAAAAAAAAAAAAAAATGAGTCTTTATATTATTGTCCACGCACGCTGACGTCGATATGACTGATTTAGTCTATCTTCCGCATGCCCAGATACTGGTAGTATACAAGATAGTAATTAGGACTACGATGCTTACAATTCAGAGCTTGAATTATGCCGAGAATCTGACCTTACTATATTGTTGAGTGCCTATATATAAACACGACTATAGTTATTAACACCAGCTATACAATCGGTCCCATACATTTGCTCGTTTTCTTTCTTATAATTTTGGAGAAACAACAGATAAGGTTTGCTTAGGTAGAAATACTTTCATATGCCATTTTAGAGTACTGCATGTTTTGATAAGATATCAGTACTGATTGCTACTTGATAGCTTGTGGATGGTTAAGTAAATCTCAGTCTTCGTGGAGTTAAAAGTTATAAAGTCAGATTGAATGGTTTTGTATTAACGATACTATCAAAGATAGTTAGAATGTTGCCCTTAACTTGGCCATATGCTGCTTTGCATATCCTTGCCGAACATTTCTGACTGGATTAAAATGTTGAATGTTACAAACCGTTTTCTAAAGTAGTTTCAATAAACCAGATAAATTACCTTCTTTTATTAAGGCGATTATATTTCGTAATTAAAATTAAAAAAAAAAAAAAAAGAAAAAAACTTCTACTCTATTATGTTACCAAACCAATGTCACGAATCAGGAAAAATTTAATTAATCATGTTGCCTTTACGCAGCCCACAAAATGTACAGCCGTCGTCAGAGAGAACTGATAACCACTGTGTTCTATGCCAGTTAGTAATGGACAATACACAGTCTTGCTATTGCACCCCTTGTAGGCATGTTTTTCATAAACTTTGCTTGGAAGGTTGGTTGGTAAACCATGCTAAATGTCCCAGTTGTAGTGCTGTGATTGACCCAGCCTCAATTAAATTAGTTGTTGGAGATTGCTCGCCGAGAGGAAAACAATCTGCTCCACCTCTACCTACGAACATAGGGAGAACGGTAACGCGCAGTCTAGCAAAATCTCTTAACCCTGATCCGACCCAGAGTGGCGAGAATCCAACAGAAAGGTTATTAGATGTTAGTGATGTACCGCAATCAGGACTCGACGCTAGCAATAGCACGAATCCACCTGAAATCGCTCCTGCACGACCAGCTCCTGATGTAAGAAGAAGAGGAAGACCCACTCAGTCCAATAATATCCGCCAAAATGAGGCAGTGGACTATAGGATAATTCAGGAGATGATCAAACAATCAATCACTCGCGTTATGTCATCACTGCAAATACAAGCAACACCCTTTCCAAGAGTGTTGCCAACCCCGATCTCGGTGTCGCCTAGTAGTTCGTCATTCCGAAATGGAAAAATTGCTGACACTGTGCAAAAGTGGAATCTTAATTTCGATGGGTCTACCGAAGGATTAGGGGTAGAAGAGTTTCTATATAGAGTCAAAACATTGACTGATGAAACTTTAGACAGCGACTTTATGGGTCTCTGTAAGCACTTACATGTGGTAATTTTAGGCAAAGCCCGTGAAAGCCCTGGTACTGGCGGTACCACAAGCAGGTAGACCACATAGTCTGGACTGAATTTTGTACTGCACTTCGCCATCAGTACAAAGATTATCGCTCCGATTTTATGAGCAAGCAACTAGTAAGAGCTAGAAAGCAAAACCCTGGGGAATCATTTGTGTCGTTCCATGACGCTGTAGCGTCACTGATCGATAAATTTGCAATTAAAATTGACGAGGAGGAGTTAATCGAAATTTTAAAAAATAATTTATTACCCGAAACCCGACATAAACTGCTATACCAGCTAATAAGTTCAGTT